ACATATTTGTATGCATCTCTCCTCTGCATGTATAAACCTTTATAAACCCGTAAAAAAGCCTCACGATTTTGTATAAGCCCTGGCATGATATTTATTTAAATTGTTTGGAATTTTAAATTGTGCAACTCTGGTATTCTTATTATCAAGAGCACTATTTCACAGCACAACTTAAATGAACTCCACCAAAAAGAGTGTACAGCTTACAGAGTTCACAATTCAGTTTTACATTGAATTATATATTCCTTGTCTTCAAGTTTGAAAAATATTAACCTAAATCATCAACTGTTTCGGGGCACAAATTTAAATAAGTGTTTAGATAAACTTCCTTTTCATCAAAAACGAAAGTCATGGGAGTTTATACAGATGAAAAATCATGTTTAGCAAACTATCTTAAAATATTTCAAATATTTCAATTGCGTGAACAAACCATAACTCTCCCTTTTCCATCGTAACAGACCGTGCGCCGTGAAATTTTTATTAATTGATTTTTTACACTTTTCAACTTGTTTGTAAAATTTTTCAGTCTCCATGCCATTGAACTAAAATACATGGAACGCAACATCAAGCATATAATTGAACCATATTTTACGCTACACACGCGAGATGTTACCCAAGACACGCGCGTTTAGTGTTTCGAGTTCCTCTCGCGGAGTAAAAATTGATTGACTACACACTCGTGTCTGGGGTAAAGTCTTGCGTGTCTGGGGTAAAATCACGGCTTTAAAAAATTATTAGGGTTTTGTATTACAGGTAGCGTTCCATGTATTTTAGATCAATGCTCCATGTTGGATGCCTTAAATTGTTTCATGCGCCATTATTTTTAAAATGACGCTCAACAGCAATTGGTTTATTTAATTCTTTAGAAAGGTTGAATTTCAAGATGACTTTTTTTTGGAGTGTTTTTTCCTATATTGATAGAATTCAGTATGCTAAATTAGTTTTCATAAAGTCATGTTATTTATATATATATATTTTGTAGAGTGTGGTATTTTCAATCAATTTTATCATTGTATCATATATCATTGTCCTTTTTCAGATATGAATGGATTTTTCATCAAACATGTTCAGTCAGGATTGTGTGTTCGGGATACTTTACCCTTTTCCTTCCTGTATACAATGAATTGTTTTGAGGAGTCCGCTTATTTTAAATTTTTACAATCTGGCTCCATCAATAGGTCGAATACAACAAGGTGTCTTGTCTTCCGATACGGATATTATTTGTGGTTATCTGATGGAAATTTTAATGGAGAATGCGGAGCCATCAATGCCATAACCCAGACATTTTGGGGTGGTCTATTCTTTTCACGCTATAATAAATGCATAGTAGCTACAGAAGGTTTTGACTTGATCCTGACCAGTTGTAAAAATGAAGAAAATCAACGATTCAATTTTGGCAAGTTAGAATATTCATCCAGTTAGCGTATATATACTTAAACTCTGATTAAAAACCACTGCAAGGCAGCAGATATAGGAATGGCGCCAGTGAAGTCACTGCCATCACACACTTCATTTTTATCAAATCAATTTTTATTTTACAGGATTTTAAAGATAAGCATGTATAGATATGAATTTACTTATTTTTTGTATGTCTTTAATAGGATCAGTAACATGTGATGGAAAAAATATATCGGACGTTAGTTGTTCTAATAATCAATATATGGTGATAAAAGTTGCAGAATATCGGGGATTGAGAAACGGAAGCATTTGTGGCTACAGTTATCACTACAGTTGTAGTGTCGATGTAACATGTGACCTTAAAAATTACTGTGATGGTGAAAGGGAATGTAATGTAACTGTTGATGATAATCATTTCCCTTCAAACATTTGTCCTGGTTTGGAGAAATATCTTTACTTTGAATATCAATGTAACTACACAAGTATGCCATACAGAAAAATTTGCAATCGTAAGTATTATATGGGCAGATTATATTTTGCTTATTATTAAAGAGCTTAGGGACAAATTTTGACCTTAATGCGCAATGGTATGGTGCTCATTTTTATACTATGTACGTTATCATTTTAGAAAAGTTGACACAAATTTGAATTTTCGTCGGGTGTCTTCACCAGGCGTGGTTTGTCTATGCAGTTTATTCTCGTATTGTATAATTTAGTGTCTTTTTATAATGTGACATTTAAACTTGTGTCCTAAATATTTTTCATAAGTTTAATGGTTTCGTGAATTTTGTGTTTTTAGTTTGTTAATGCAAACTTTGTTCATGGAAACATATCTTCTTCCAGTCACTTTGATTTATCAAATCTATTTCTTTTTTAAAATCTTTTAGCCATTCTATGTAGGCCAAAAGTGACATTTACAATTGCATTTGTATTCATATTTTCATGACTTCACACTACAGAATTTTTACATATACTGTATATATTTTCAATATGAACATAATAGCCCAACATAATACTTTTAAGAAAGCCATCACAATAATAAAATAGAGAAGGATTTATTAATTACGTTTCGTCTTTAACTTAAGACATCTTCAGATTAATGAGTTAATATATATACACGAGGTTTTAAATACAAGCATATAATATGGGGTGTTAAATTACATGTGAGAGAGTAGGAAGTTTAGATGACGGAATTAAGTGAGAATGGCGGTATATTAAAGAAGGTGAAGGAGGATTGAGTTGCCTTGGGTGTTAAGAGAGGGTTAAGTTTGGATATAAGAAGGCTTTCATGAATCATAAGGTCATAATTGTCGGAGGAGGAAGAGAGTTGAGAAATCATTAAAATCGGCAGGGTGAGATGTATTTCTTATATGAGAAAGAACTGCAGATGGTGGTGGACATAAGGAAGGCTTCACTGTTAGGGAGAGATTCCCAGTGTTCTGATATTCTGGTGTGTAAATGACGCGTGGTTTGACCCACATACGATGCAGAGCATCGACACTTAAATGAGTATACAACACCAGATCTCAGGAGCTTGGGAACCTATCCCAAAAGGAAAGAAAGAGGAGAGACGCCTGGAAGAACGAAAACAAAGCGAACGTTGATATGAGGAAAGGCAACATTGCAGAGTCGAGTGATTTGAGTGCGAATCTGAAGACAGTGTAGGCCAGTGAAAGGGAGACAGAAGTACATGATTTTCTTAGGAGCAGTGTGAATAAGATCTTTGGGTTCAAATGTATTGTTGAGGAAGCGGTGAACATGATTGTCAAATATGTATGAAGGGAAGTTGTTTAAGGTGAACAATTTTCTAACGACTTCTAGTTCGGTATGAAAGTGTTCATAGCTGGAGCAGAGGTTGAAAATTCTGTGAAGTAAAGAGGAGATCAAAGAGCGTTTGTATTGAATGGGAATGAAACTATGGAAATTGGTGAAGAGACCAGTGAAAGTGGGTTTGATACACGGAGGTGGAAAACTTGCCGTTTGAGCGAGTTATTTTTACGTCAAGAAAGGGGAGCGTGTTGTCTTTTTCCAGTTCAGATGTAAAGGAGATGTTAGGATGTTGGTGGTTAAGATAGGTAAGGAAAAGAGGTATGTGATCCAATGATCGGAAGAGTAGAAAGCAATCATCAACGTAACGTTGGTAAAGAAGGGGTTTGAAGGTGGAGGGACAGTTGTGAAGCCATGAATTTTCATTGAAGGCCATAAATATGTTCGCAAATAGTGGGCCCAGCGGGCTGCCCATAGCCACACCATCAATCTGCTGATAAACTTGGCCGTCAAAGAAGAAATGACAGTTTTTGACGGAAAGGGAGAGAAGTTGAGTGAATTGTGAACGGTCAAGGCCTTGAAAGGACGTGTTATTGGAGAAGATGTGATTAGTTATTATTACTGTATATATATATACAAAGATAGATTCATTACAATTCCTATGAATTGGGAAGCTAAACGCAGCGCTCACCTATAAAAACGGTATTTGTTCTGGTTTCATTAATGATTCACATAATCACTTAGACACATTTTGTTGTGATTCGTGTTTACAACACAAGAGAAAAGTTCTCAGTTCAACTTATTTCCTGTAGTTCATTTTAAGCTTAAAGATTAAAATCAAAACAGTGCTTACCAATTTGTCCATCAGAATGTGGAAAACATTTCTGGTTAAGTGCTTTCAAACTAAAATTTTTTTTAAGTTAATGTCACCTTCTGTGTTCTTCTGATATTCAAACTCCGTGTATATATTTTATTCATGGACGAGATTTGTCATATTTATGTTCATAAAACCACTTCTAAAAACACAGATTTCACTTTAAGATATGCGCCATTTTTTGTTTGTCTTTAATAGGCTCAGTAACATGTGATGGAAAAAATATATCGGACGTTAGTTGTTCTAATAATCATTATATGGTGATAAAAGTTGCAGAATATCGTGGATTGCGAAAAGGAAGCATTTGTGGCTACAGTTATCACTTCAGTTGTAGTGTCGATGTAACCTGTGACCTTAAAAATTACTGTGATGGTGAAAAGGAATGTAATGTAACTGTTGATGATAATCATTTTCCTTCGAATATTTGTCCTGGTTTGGAGAATTATCTTTACTTTGAATATCAATGTAATTACAAAAGTAAGGCATACAGAAAAATTTGCAATCGTAAGTATTATATGGGCAGATTATATTTTGCTTATTATTAAAGAGCTTCGGGACAAGTTTTGACCTTAATGCGCAATGGTATGGTGGTCATTTTTATATTATGTACGTTATCAATTTAGAAAAGTTGACACAAATTTGAATTTTCATCGGGTGTCTTCACCAGGCGTGGTTTGTTTATGCAGTTTTATCTCGTATTGTATAATTTAGTGTCTTTTTATAATGTGACATTTAAACTTGTGTCCTAAATATTTTTCATAAGTTTAATGGTTTGGTGAATTTTGTGTTTTTTGTTTGTTAATGCAAACTTTGTTCATGGAAACATATCTTCTTCCAGTCAATTTGATTTATCAAATCTATTTCTTTTTTAAAATCTTTTGGCCATTCTTCTAAAAACACAGATTTCACTTTACGATATGCGCCATAATCACAATTAAAGGAAAAATAATTTTGATTTGTGTAGTTATGGATGTACGCCTGTCAAAGTCGAATCTTCCGAACGAAGGTGTCGTGAATGTTATTACCAAGTATAGAAACTTCACCATTTGCAACAAAGGTGTTTTGCACAAAATAAAGACGATTATTTGTAAACAACTTGGTTATCCTACCGCAGTATCTGTGGAAGGCTCAATGTCACTATCATCTTTGATGCATCAATCGTTTATACCTGGAATTGTCAAATGTGATGCTCGAGTGAACGATTTATCTCAATGTGCTATCACTCAAAATAATGATTGCTCTCAATACTCGTACGTTACATGTAAGCATTCTCATTCAATTTTTTGAATGTATTAACGTATTGCAGGACACATTTGTATGACGTTAGAAAAAGATTTTTAGCGAAGAATTTAAGGAATGAATGTGTTACTTTTGTCTTCTCAACTTACATCTGTCTATTGTTAAGCATCATGACTTACCTCTATCATCAAGACTTACATCTGACATCGTAGTGTCACTGTATTTTACGCTGACTTGGAGAATTTCACAATTCTTCTTTTACATAACAAAAGAAATATAGCATCACAAAATATAAACGATTGCTACTCTTAAATAATAAATAATTAAAACAGGATTGCTGCGAATACTGAGGATTAAATTAATTTTACTCTTGCTACTTCATTTCGTGCTTCAAAAAATGTCCAATTGTCATTCCTCTGCAATACGATTGACGTTCACTCTTTAATGGAATTTAAATCGCTACGGTATTGTTGTTATTTGACAAGATACTTACGGTTTCTTGTCATAGCTGGCTTGATTCCAACTGGAATTTAACCTTATTTAATAAAAGCATGCAAAATCAGTCATATTCTTCCAATATATCTTGTGCTCTTTTTTTTTCTTAAGAAAACAGTTTTTGAATTTTTCAATTTTACGTGAATGGAGAACAATATGAGAGTGCACCATTGCTCTCTATCAAATCAAACCAGTTCTAATGTTATAATGCATTTCAACCAAATCCTTTTCTATTTAAGGTCATGTTTGTGATAATCCTCTATTAAAAAACGCAGAAAAATTCCCAGATTCTTGGTTTACTGCCTTCCCAAAGAGTCGTAGTGCTGCTAAAGCAAGAATATCCAGTGGTAGTTCATGGTGTGCTCCTGCTGCTAATGGCAATCATTACCTTCAACTGAATTTTCCGAGTCTTTATACAGTTAACGTTATCACTATCTTTGGAGACAGTTCAAGTTCAAGCTTTGTAACTAAATATCACTTGCAGACAAACATTGATGGTGTGAACTGGAAATCTGAAAAATCCCAGAAGGTAACAGTAGACTTATCGAATTTGTATATTATAAATTTAAAGGGAAATTTAAAAAAGGAATGAAGTTATAAACTAAGTAAACTTTTAAATTGCTATTTATATACAAACTTGTGTGCAGATGTTGATTCAGTGGTGTAGCCGGCACGCAAAATTGCTGGTTCTATGTAAATTTCAGATCATTATCATTATTCATTTCTTTAGAGATCTATTGTTTTTACAGTTAGTGAGCTCTGAGAAATTTACATATAGCACGACCAAATTTGTGGGCTAGCTACGTCACTGTGTTGATTGTCTTGGTTACTCCTGCACTACGAAGGACTCTTGCATTTGATTATAAAGTTTAAATTGTAGCTATGTGCATGATTTGAAGAGATACATAGACAATGCATAAACTACTCTCCTCTGGACAGCGTTAAACAAACCTTTCTTTTCTCTAACCTTGCTCTGCAAATACACGAAAATCAATTTTTTTGTTTTATTCCAGATTTATCTAGGAAACAAAAATGGTTACAATGATGCGGCTATAGAAAAGTTTTCTGGTGGCCTTAAATCCAAAGCTTTGCGAATCTTTCCATTGAAATTTGTTGGTGCACCGTGTTTACGAATTGAAATTTGTGGTGGAGGTAAGAGGTAGAAAAATATACCAGGTTTACTTTGCACTGTAAGCACTTAATTTTTCAATATATAAAGTTTTTTTCTCTGAGTATTAATTAAACATGAGTTAGTTGACAAAACAGAACAATTTTCCATGAAGGCTGAAGTGTTAGTTTCTTTCTCTGTTGAAATAAACTTATTGAAACAAGCCTTTTCAACATGCAGTTAAGTTTAACACGTGTTATTGGAGAAAAAGCAGAACACTTATTTCACTTAGGGGCTACAAATGGTTCAATTTGTAGATTTTCTTTTATCGTGCAGACTTACTCCCAGACAAACCAACAGATCTCATTGCAACCAAATCTGCATCGACGTACCTCGAGATATCATGGAAACATCCCAAAAAAACTGGTGTAAAACTTGGTACAAATATCTCGAATCCTCTTACAAGATATCTATTGATTTTGCTGAAGGATACTATGATTGTTTTTGATAAAACTCTGGAGGTAACTGACAAAAAACCGTACAACATTACGAATCTTGTTCCTTACGCAACGTATAAAGTTAATGTAACCGCTGGCAATTCTGAAGGCTTTGGTAGATCAACTACAGCTACTTTTAGAACTGCTGAAGATGGTGAGTTCATATCAGTTTTGTGTATACATATCGGCTGTTGTTGCATTGATGGTGTTATTGCCATAGACGACTTTTGAAAGCTCAAATCTTTTCTGGTCGATATTTATTTCAATCATGTTTTTTATACTGTATTATATTTAAGTTAACAATGACAGTGTACACTTGTTAGGACTTCTTTCTAAAGTGTATTTAATATTTTATATAAATCTTTAAAACAAATGTTTTATTTTTGTTTAGTTCCCGAAGGTCCACCTTTAAATGTTCAAATTGTCGCCTTAAGCAGTTCATCGTTATCAGTTACGTGGGAGCCACCAGACAAGAACAAAACAAATGGAAAGATAGTCAATTACACTGTTTGTATTACACATTTGGAGAATGAAACCTGTTCAATGAAGTATATGATCGAGGAACAGCGTTTGGACATAAATAATGTGAAACCAGGGACAAAATATTATGTTCGTGTTTTAGCTTCTACAATAGTGGGATCTGGATGTTACAGCAATGTTACATGGGTATTTACAAATGGATGTAAGTTGTCTATGGTTTATGCACAGGTTTGTTTAAGATGATAAATTTATTCAAGTTTATTTATTTAGTGGCACCTGAACTGTCCACCAAGCAGATTGGAAATACGTTGACTTATTTGTTGCAAAATCCAAATGTGGAATATCGGTAACTATGTATTTTACTAGAGCAAATTATTGTAAAAACTTAAAGGAACTTAAAAGTATTTTTGAGTTTTCGGATTCATGGCTAAGTATAGGACAGTTGGTTTCATGTGGGATCGAGGTAGTCTAAATATCTCTCTGGGGAAAGCTTTGATGACTCGTCGCTTTTCTTTGGCATTGCGGATGCATGCATAACATATATTTTAACCATTAACAAAAGCAGAGGTTATGCATGTATTTTAAAAATGTTTTGCCTTAAATTTGCAGATATTTCTATGTAGTGGCGATGAAAAATGTGGAAGAAGAGAGTCGATTGCCTTCTAACTTTAACAACACAGACTTAGTGACTTATTCTAAGGCCATATCTTCCACACAACCTATGCCGTATATTGCTGCTGTAGTCTCTCGCAGAGACTTTAAGCCTAATTTTATACTTGGTGACGGTGAAACCACAACACGGCGTTCCAATCGTGAAAATTATTATAATGGCCCTCTAAAGCCTGGCACTAACTACAAAATATTTCAGCGCGTTTTCATAAATGATCAGGTGCGACCATTTTATTTACGTTTTCATCAGCATTGATTGCTGTAATTTTTATTCAAATATAAATGTTCACTTCGTTTCAGAGTGATTATTATTCCACTGACTGGAGTCCAGTGGCAGCAACTGCCCAAAAGCACAAGTCTGGAAGATCCATGATGGCAACTAACCAAAGCACAGGTTTGTGTTTGCTTTCAATAGCATAAGGAAGTTTATCGATGTCTAAAGTGCAATGATTCAAGATCTTTGCAAATTTCAGTATAGTAAAATGCCTGAAAATTTTTAACGATGAATATACATTTTGTTTTATGATACAACCGATTTAATTCCTACAAATAAATGCCTTAGTGATTTTGTGTACCTCTTCTCTAATTTCCTTGCGTTCCAAACCTAATTTATACCATAAATAAATCATAAATAGTTAACAGGGATGAATACATGAGGTGTGAGAGCGGTTACACCCTCAGCTTTACAAAAATGATAAAATGATCGCTGAAAGACAATATTTGTTGGTAATGTTATGATTTGTCATTCAATTTTATCTTGTAGACGGTGGAAAAATTGGAGCCATTGCTGTTGCAGTTGTAGCTGCAATTTTGCTCATTATTTTTGTCATATTGGTCATTCTTTTTGTTAGGATCAATTGAAACTCTGCTACAGTGCAGTCAACTGCGTATTGTAGTTATTTGACGGCTACTAAAAGTTCTCAAAAATGGGGGAAGTTGAATTTTTTCAAATTATTAGACGTTTTCTGAAATTTAACGTACTATAGAAGAATATGATTAAGCATAGAATTTTATTTCCTTTTAACTATAAGAGTGAACGAGAGTGAATGATTCTGAACAGTATTTGAAAACAATTTGGAACATAACATCAAATTTTTAGGCTAAGGATGTAGTCAATATTTGAAATAGGATAATAGTTGTAATACTTTTTATCTAAGTACATTAAATAAGAAATAAAGTTAAATTACAAACAAACAGTGGCGTAGCATGCTCAGTAATTTATTTAAATAAGTTGGGGGGAACGGATTTTCATTCATTCATAATTTTGGAGTCAATGGAATATATATGAATATGTACACACTGTCATCTCATTAATTTACCTGACGTAAGAAACAGGGAGTTTAAGTGGATGGAGTTTACTTTGTTACCAACTATATTTGTGTTAGTATAATGTTGCTGTTCTTGTTTTTTCCTGTTTTTGCCTATTATCCCCATTATAATGTTCATTTTAAACTCATCCAAAGTTATCGAGTTAATTGAATTTTCTGATAATTTGATTGCTAGAGTGCTAGGAACAATGTGTTTGGCTGTAGACTAGAGATCAACGAAAAAAAACAGAAATGGGTTTGAAGCTACCAGACAAGATTTTACAAAACAAGAAAAATGCATATGATCTCCCAACACGTCCTTCTCTCCTATAGTTTTTTGTCAACCCCTCTCCTTGTTTTTCAACACTGGCCGGAACACCCACCAAAAGACTGATCTAGGTAGTCGGTACTAAACTTCCGCAACATTAAACCCGTTTAAAATTTATATTTGCGTTCGAATTATGTTTGAATTATGAGTAAAATATCAAATTGTTACAAATACAGAAGTACAAAATATCATTCAGAGATTCTCGACTCTAGATATGAAAAATATAGCCAACCCTATCACGAGTTTCTCCGATTCATTAGTTTTTATTAGTTGGAACACACACCAACGATTATGATGTATGAGCTTTCACTTCATAAGAATATGAGCAGACGAACCCCAAGTAAAACAGTTTCTTCTCGTCATGTAATATCAAGTAGTCTATTGATATCTTCAAGTAATCACGTGTTATTTATAGTTCAGTTGCTTTTTTTGTCCGCCTCCTGCTCACTTAATGTTTATTAAGTTCATCTTTGTCATTCATTTATATCCTATAAACGGTAGAAATGATGGTGCTTTTACAGGTGCAGTTGCTGCTCCGGGTTGGTTTTTAATCTTGTCGTATTGGCTGTTCGTTAGGATCAATCTAAACTCTTGTACTCGAACGTGCAGTAAAATGCGTGTTGAAGTTATTTAACATCTACTGACAACATTTGATGAGAGTGAATTCTTGACTTGCAGTTCAGCCATGTTGGCGGTTTGATAGAAATGAATATTTTATTAGTGTTATTGTTCGCACTAGCCGACGTAGGCGAGCAACATTGTTTGGTAAATCTCAAGAGAATGGTTGTAAGTCTGGAATAGTTCTGAATTGAAATTTAAATTATCAAATGCTCAAATCAAACACTCTGCGGCGACTGCTTACTTTAATGTCTTAATCTATAGGTTAGTTTATCAACTGCTTGCTTGTTCATTAAAATTATTTAACAATGATTGTAATTTGTATAGAAGTAATAAAGAACTTACCTTTTAGAAAGGAAAATCACAACTCAGTATACGTAGGCACTGGATGTACGATTTGGCATTGTGAAAGTGGATTGTATTTTGGAATCATCAGAATGTTCTAACCCACTATGAGAAAACTCAAGTACTACGGTAGTTCTTACCAAGTGTCTATTTAGCTAGTTAAAGTCGCTGATATAATAACTCAAATTTTCTACCCCACAAATCTTTCGATAATCTTCCTCGTGATATAGTCGTTCATCACATGAATTTACCTAACGTGAGAAACAAGGAGTTTTAGTGGATGGAGTTGATTTTGTTAGTGTTAATAAGATGGTGCTGTTCTTGTCCTTTCCTGTTTTGCTCATTGAACTAAATATAACTGGAAGGCTACCTTCGCCCGGAAATTTGAAGCCTAAGTCGACAGTATCGTTCCCAGTCTTTCCACGCTTGTGATAAACACGACCAAAACAAAATATGTCAGTGTTTTAGTCATTTTGACAGCGGATTTTGCAAAAACTATGAAAAAAAACTGGAAGTAAATTGCAAAAATGTAAATTTTCCAGGTCATTTATAGTAAGTTTGATTACGGTAATAGATCAATCAAGCAATCGCCTTTTTAAAAAAAACAAACTTAACAAGCCTCGACAAATGCGATTTTGACATCTTACAAATTTGTATGGTATTTGTTTTAAAATTTCTTAAAAAACGTTGAAACATCAACTAATGACATTAACTATAACAGAACGTTTAGTCATATACAGTATTTATTTGTTTTGGTCACAATTGCAATAAAATAATACTTTTCATAAAAGTGTAAAGTAGATATAACTGGTATCATATTGTTAGTACAGGGCTTAAACTTTATTTAACTGGACAAGGATTTGTAGTGAAATTACTGGAAGTATAATATTTAAACTTCATTATACCTCTCAAACGCCATCTGCTGATGCATGAGTCTCACAAATGCAGTACCATAAAAAAGCTACCTTGTTCCGTTGATGAAACTTCTCCACCCAAAAAATCTCAAAACATCTACAGAAGAAAAAGAGATTTGTTTAAAATAAGCTTCAACAAAAATTGAAACTTGCAACAACAACTGAGACGCACAAAACAAAGGTTGAAACCATGGGTGAAGTTGTCAAGATTTTAAAAGATAAGTTGGTGATCAATTCAAAAGAGGCAGAAAGTCTTTTGTCCACTTTCAATGATACTCAGTTGGGATTTTATACAATATTAGAGATAATTTAAAATGTCCTCGTTCAGGCAGAAGATACTCTGATGAAATCAAAGAATTTGCACTTACTTTATATTTTTATTCTCCAAAAGCTTATAAATATGTTCGATCCATTGTTCCACTACCCAATCCATCTTTGATGAAAAATGGTCTCGTCCATGAAATGTGACCCTGGTTTCATTAAAGATGCATTCCAATCACTATCAAATGAAGTTGCTGCTTCCCAAATTCCAGAGACTGCTGTTTGGTTATTGATGCAATGTCAATGAAAACAAACAATATGGAATCAGAAGATGACCAGTATTCAGGGTTTGTTAATCTTGGAGATACACTCCTAATCATAAAACAGAGAAATTGGCTTCTGAGGCACTAGTATTTTTATTAGTTGGCACCAAAAGTCATTGGAAATGCCCGTTAGGTACTTTTGGTTGACAAAATCAATGGTAAAGACCAAGCATCATTGGTAATACAATGTCTTGAAAAGGCATCAAAGGCAGGTTTAAAGGTATGGTCTGTAACAGCTGATGGTACTGCTGTAAATCTTCATACATTTGAAAGTCTTGGTTGCAACTTTAACGGTACATATGATGAAATGCGGTCTTCATTTACCCATCCAACTACTGGCGAAGATGTGTTTGTAATTCTTGACCCTTGCCATATGTTAAAGCTTGCAAATGCACTGGCCCAACTTGGTTCTTTTAAGGATGGCAAGGAAAACATTATAAAGTGGAGTTACATAGAACAACTTCAAAACCTACAAATGGAAGAAGGATTAAACCTAACAAACAAACTTACTAATCACCTTAACTTTCACAAACACAAAATGAATGTGCGACTTGCTGCACAAACATTGAGCTCCTCTGTGGCAAATGCTATTGAGTTTTTAGACAAATCCGCTAAACAACCAAATTTCTCTGGCAGTAATGGGACAGTGACATTTATTCGCATTATCGACCGACTTTTGACATCCTTAATTCCCGAATCCACTGGGTAAGGGTTTTAAGGCACCTCTTCGGCTTTCAAGTCAGGAAACATGGCAAGAAGTGTTATCATCATCAGCAGAATATTTACTATCATTAAAACCAACACAGCTTCCTCTCAACCAATTTGTACATCTCAGCAAAACATTTGTAATTGGGTTTGTTACCTGCATCAAATCCACTATTTCAATGGCAACACAGATGCTCTCTTCATCCATCAATCCATTCAAGTATCTCTTAACCTACAAATATTCACAGGACCATATTGAACTCCTGTTTTCCTGCATTCGCTCAAGAGGTGGATGGAACAACAACCCCAACAGTCTCCAAATGAAGTATGCCCTTCAAAAATGTTGATGAGAAATGCCATTACTGCATCAAAAAATGCAAACTGTTTGGACTTTACTGGCTGCAACAACCTGATACCACTTTTTCGTACAAGAAAACATTCACCCACATTACATAATCAGTCACAAGAAACTGCTGCCCAAGACACTGACAATAAAATTAATGCAATGGTGCAACATCTCCAAGAAGGCAACAGCGAATTTATTTCGAACGTTATATTTTATATTGCAGGATACATAGTTTCGAAGTTAGTCAACAATTTATCTTGCCCAGAATGCAAACGATGCCTTTGTCCTTTACCAAAATCGTTATCCGTAGATGACCATGATTATACTGCCACAAAATATCATGAAGCTGGAAAAGCGTCAGCTTTCGTCAACTTCGTGAACAACGGTGGTTTACAGATTCCATCCACAGCGGTGTATCGTTGTATAGAGTTCTGCGAACACGTTTTCAAAGCAACGGTGACAGGCAACGACAATCAGCATATTAGTAACAGGGCAAAGTTGAAGAACAGTATGATTATTGCAGTTTGCCAACATTTTAATCTGGAATCGACCTTTCCTCTATTCAGAGATCACGAAGATGGTGTTAACGAGGCTGTTATCGAAGACGATCACAGCACTCAACTGACAAAGCATATCGCAGACAAATATTTCACACTGCGTCTTTTCAACTACGGTAAAAAATATACGAGGGAGATCGTAAATAAAGGCAAAACAAGCGACAGGCACCGACTCAATAAGCTAATCTTGTTTAACAATGAATAAATTTAATGTAAACACTTTATGAATACAATGAATAAACACTTACCCATTGGGATTTTTACATTTGAAAGTTTTCGCCAATATCCGAGCACAATCCTTTGCCATCGGTAAGCCTTCTGGGTAAAAATTATTTGGTCGGCAAGAAACTTAAATTTCCTGTATTAATATCAAAAGAAAACGCAGCAAAACTAAATAAATTCAGTAATTTTCCTTTCTAAAGCTTGGCCAAAACATGTAGTTTATTCGTTCAGACTCTTTACTCACTCCTTCCAATCACGCATCGCGAGGCCGAACTCGCGTGATTTGACTACCAGAAACGCGTGTCTGGAGGTCAGATCACGCAAAATTTTGGCTTCATTTCGTGTGTTACCGATATATCAGAAGGTAGCCTTCCAGTTATATTTAGTTCAATGGTTTTGCTTTATATCGTCATGATAATATTCATTTTAAACATTCAAAATGATCGGGTAAATTAAATTTCCTTAATGATTTGACTGTAAATGCAAGTTAACGTTGTGCTTCGGCTTAGATTGGTGATTAACAGAAAAGAAACATCGCTTTGAAGCAATGACACAAAATTTTACAAGATGTACAAATCATGAAGCGCAATTGCCTAACTGGTTTCAATTTTTGGCTTATGCTTTCATTCCAGTTATTTAAATATTGAGTTCACTGGTTAAATGATGTCATGCAATATGGCGGATAGTAAGAATTTGGATAGTCTTGTGGTTACGGACGAAATTTTGTCATCAAAAAGGTATTGAATTCCTTTTCAATATTAATTGTCAGTTCTTAAATATTTCATTACATTTTTTTTCACTTTGTACTTCGTTGGCGTTAAGTTGACCTTTTGAAATTGACAATCATTAGTCACCATGTTTTGAGACAAAGCCGAATAACAAAGACTCAGCAGACGACAAAATATTCTCCATGCCTGTATTTGTGTGCTATTTGTATTTTTCCTTTTGTTTTTTGCTGATGCGGATCCGAATTAAATTAGAATTATACGTTGTAGTTTCTCTAACTTACATTTATACGAATAAATTAGAAAACCAAGAATCACAGGCAATTTTATATGTAGATCAAAAGGTTTTTGGTATGATCTGTGGTTTAATATTTGATGTCTTCAAGAAGTGAATCTTAGAGTTGAATTCCAGATATCAAAATTGTGACTCGCCTTATCTGATATGATCAATGTAAAAAGTTTTAATATATTTTTGTCTGGTGATTAGTGTCCTTTAAAAAGTGATGTGATGTTGAATTTTAAGTCATTATGTGTTCCAGTCTTTGTGTGGAGTGATTTTTTGTATAATTACAATGGTTGTATAGCTGTATATAAAAATTAAAGTCAAAGTAATCCAGTCCAGTATCTTCATTCCATACTAGTTACTTTTATAATTGTGTGAAGATAGTATTTTTAGCAACTGGTCTTTTGATACTTCTTTGTTGTGCTTTTACACCATTTGTTCATCATTAAATAAGATTCAACATTCAATTACAGGCTTCGACATACCTGCAACAGAACAATAAAATATTCATTATCTTAAAGGAAAAATCAGAAACACGTGCCTACAATCAATACGTTTCTATAAGAGAAAAGTCAGAATCATTCGGATAAAAAGAAATTTCTATAAACATATTTAAATCTCTGCTTTAAATAATTGGTTGCAAATAAATCAATACACTTCTCTTTCATACAAAGTTCATATGTATATGTTTATGCAGTAGCGTAGTCAGCCTGACTTTACTCTCGCTATGCAAATATTTTTTCCATTTAATAAATACGACGAGTTGTTTTAAAATAAATGTGTTTCAACATCTTATGATTGCATCTTCAGTATAATAAGAATATTATGTATATGCATGATAATTTTATATAAGAGTAATATGATGCAGTGATGCAATTATCAGTAGATTATAAATATTAAAATGAAATACTGGTTGGAACTAATTTATGTGTGAAATTACAGAGAGAATATAGTGTTAAAACGAAAAACGTGAACGTTGAGATTACGATTAGTTTTGTTATGGTGAAATGTTTCTTTTAAAAAACCCCGTCGTATTTATTAAATGCGCAATATCAATAGTGTTTTTACGCAGTTGCAGCAAATATTTTTGTGTTTACTGACCGTAAGAACAATAGATTTCTAAAGAATGTCTTTATGAGTAAATGATTTGTTACATTTATTTATTTTTTGTTTCTTAGGATATTAAAAAAGGTCGTATGGTCCGTGATTCATGACATATCGTGGCCGGTTCATGATGTTTCTAAAGATGTTCACAGTATGGTGGAAATTTTATCTAAAGTTGAACATTCACAAGAGCTGCTGATGTAAATAGACCTGTCATTGTTATATGCAGGTAAAACACGTGTGACTCAAATATTAGCAAGTGATTAACCTCGTCGCTCTCGTGGTTATAATTTGGCGGTTTAAGGTCTAAATGAAGATCTCTACAAGAATTTTGCAACAAACACAAAAATATTTATTTTCTTAATCCAGTGACGGAACTTGACATTTTGTTACCTGCAAGTGAAAATTTTCCCAAATGCTTCGAAAATCTGGTCTGTAAGGACGTGTGGCTTAACCCACGTACGAGGCATTTCAGCTGCGTTCCGTTTATCGCAAACGTTCACTAGCCTCACGTGTGTATATTTTTTATCAAATCTTTGTTTTCAAAAATCTTTTTCAAATCTTTGAAAGTTTTTTACAAATCTTTAAAACCTTTAAAATGTTTTACAAACTTCAGTTTGAAAGAATTTCCTCTTCTCACGATTCATACAAACTCTCCCTTAATGAGAACCTCATAGTCAATAGCTACAAGTCTTCACTTATCGACAGTATAGTAAAAATACAGTAGAGCAAGTCCATTGAATTTTTTGTGCTACGTATATCTCATTGCGCGTATGATTACTATATTGGCAGCTAGTAAATTGATTTTTTGAGTAATAGGAGTGCTGAGCTGGCTAACGGCAGTCTGTTATCTAATTATATGTACAGGAGCAAGTTTGTTAGCTTTGATTTTATTTGAATGTCTGGTTTTATTTAATGATCCTTGGTTAAGGCTGTTTCTCCTTTAGGTGACTGGCATTGTGCATATGTGTTGCTATACGGGCCGAGAAGACTAGAAACCATTAAAGAATCTTCGTGATCACGTGATCTTAAGAAGAAGTGGATTTTGTACCTTTAAAGAATGCGGTATTGTGCCGATATGTCTATGGGTTGATATCATCTCAAAATCTCCTGTTGAGTAATTTCTTTCAAATCAACACTGCAGTATTTCCTTCATTGTCATCGAGACATTTAAGTTTATACGCTAGCCAATTGACAATTTTTAAAAAAAGATTTGTATTTTAAAGATTTGATTATTTCTACATGGAGAAATTGCGCGTTTTCGATTTTTTACAAATTCATTTCGATGAAAGCATGCGTATTGTAACTTTTTTTTTAAATGGCGAACAACAAATTTTTGCTTTTACTTTTGCTTTTCTTGTCTTTCAAAAACAGGTAAGCAATTTTTTTATCATTTAGTGTTTACAAATGTTGTATGTTTAAAGTTTTCATTCGTTGATAATCTCAAACACAAAGATTTTTTTAAACATATTGTTGTAGGACAACATTGATTTAGAAAATAACGATGAGACGTTCTGTTGATTGACATGTATACTTGAGGATACACTATACACATGATTACTTGAGGATACACTATACACATGAGTACTTAAGGATACACTATACGCATGAGTACTTGAGGATACACTATAAACATGAGTACATGAGGATACACTATAAACATGAGTACTTGAGGATACACTATACACATGAGTACATGAGGATACACTATAAACATGAATACTTGAGGATACCAATAATGTTTTATTTTCTCTCTTTACCCCCCTCCTGTGGAATTTATTGTTATCATTCAAGTGGTGATTAGTACAGGCGGGAGGCTAAATAAAAAGAAGCTGGGGATTAAGTAAATTTTCACACAAATTGTTTTCGCATTTTATATGTAATTCACATGCTTCAATATTACTTTTCATTAAAAAACTCAATCCCCATTCCTTATGCAATGTCGTCTGAGAACCTGACAAAGTCCATGCTTAATGCACATAATCTCGTTATTCAGAGACTTGGAGATGAATGTATGTCAAGGGTTTGTTTTTTGCTACCTTTCAAATGTGGGATCATTAAAAGGGTTAGGTGGGGTAAAATAGGTGTGGACCTGTTGAAGTGGGTACTCGAGGGTACTCGAGGGTACTTGAGGGTACTTGAAGATTTTAATTATGGTGTGTCTATGTTGTGATGTATACGCTTTAGAAAATATTTTTGTCTGATCGAATTTTTTTTAACATATGTTATTTGTGCTTTTACGTATTTAGAAAGCTAAGCTTGAGGGAAAGATATCTGGTGTTGATAAAATGGATGTCGATTCTGACGTAAAGGAATACCAACCATACTCTTTTTCTGATGGTAAGTTACTATAGAATTGGATTTGATAGTTAAGATTAAGAAACTATCGATTGCATGAAATAGATTCGATTTATTAGATTTTATTTAAATGGTTTTGGAACACAGCCATTAATTCGCAGTTCATTAATTCACGACGCAAACTGCTTGAAATTTTTGAAATATCTTTTAAAACAAAGATCAAAGAATAATTTGTCTGTTAAATTCTCGGCAGAACGGCCGAATTTTGTGATTCAAGAACATTTTCTGTCGTTTCCTCATTTCAAAAAAACATTTAACATATAATGGTCGCAAGGCTTGCCAAAAGATTAAAGATGAAATGAAGCGCGCATCTTTTTAACAAGCAAACACGTTTGTATTTCCAGTCTTATTGGGCTCGTCTAAAGGTTAACATCAAATCTGTTAGTAAAATTATGTCCTTTTGTTTGCCCATGATGCAACATTGTGTCGGTCTGGCGTCATCACTTCTGCTTCAATAATGGCTTTGCCACTTTGCCAAAGATTAAGTATGTAACGAAGCGTGTCTATTTAACAACCGAACGTATTTTATATTTACAATCTTCTTGCACTTGCATCAAGGTTGACAAATTCTACTTCAGTACACATTTTGTGTAAAACCTTGATTCGTGGCGTAGAAAAGCATTAACGTGGAGCGTTGCCCTCTTTTCGATGTAAATAATCTAACCGTGTATTGTTGTTATTTCGTGGTACGCGCAATAAATCGATTATCGCAACAATTTGGACACTGTTGACTTCATTTTGGAGAAGTGTTTTGGATAAAGTGAGAAAAATCGTTATTTCCTTTTCAACACTCACTGATAGCGTTTTGACGAATGTTCCATATAAAGGCCTTTAAAATATACGAGTTGAAATCGTTGGGGAGAAGATTATTCACTTAATTGTTTGTTTTCTGAATGAAGTGCTCTCCTGGACAAAGAATTATCTGTACGTTATGGATTATTGAAACGTGAGTTTTTTTGCACTCCAAAAAGTGAAACTTCAATCGGATTACATTGCAATTATTTTGTGTTGGCACGCGTAGACTCTGAGAAAACGCTTAACAGCATTTCTGATCTCGTTTTGCGCCATGATCGAAGTATTAGTTGGCATTATTTTGATATATTTTTTATGGCGACTTCTCTTTTTCTATTGGTCACATTTCATGTCACGTGATCTGCCACCCGGTCCATTTCCGCTTCCCTTTCTGGGAAACTTAAATTTGATTGGTACGACCGTTCACATTGATTTGGCAAAGCTTGCTAAGAAATATGGTGATCTAATGACAATCTACTTCGGAAGCGAGCGTGCGCTTATCGTGAGCAGCTCGGAAATGGCTCGCGAGGTACTCGTGAGGCAATCATTTGTTTTTGGTGGACGACCGTTGAACCTACCTTACGCGGCCATTTTGTTTAGTCACGATGGTAAGAATATCGCTTTTTCGAAAGAAATTTCTCAGCGTTGGAAGAAACAACGTAAAATATTTTATGCTGCTTACAGAACGTTTGGTAATAGTCTTGAAAATAAGGCTTGTGACGTCATAAAGGATCTTATGGCTGACCTGGGAGAAAAAACGGTCACTCCAAGAACATTCCGCAAGATATATTTCATTGTGTTGCTAACATCATTTGTGCCATAACATTTGGGTTCAAATACGACAAAGATGACCCAGAATTCCATGCTCTCATGAACACTTTTAATGTTGTGCAGCAGTATGTTGCCCCTGGCAACCTCATTGATGCCATCCCGTTGCTAAGGAGATTGCCTTTGAAGAGCGTGATTAAACTTAAGTCGGCCACTAATCTTTTGGACACGATTGTTTTGCGAATATACGGGGAGCACGAAACCGCAAATCCAGTGGAAGACTACGATTTGACGCATGCGTTTCAGAAGCAATCAGATGACATCATGGATAGTTAGAGCAATGACGTCATTTTAACGAAGGAAGAAATAACTTGTATGATAAAAGATATTTTTCGCACAATCTGCGCGAAGTGCTGGTTCACTGCTCTCGAAACTTCACTCGAACGATGGGACTGTATTTTGACAATTGTATTTAACACTTGATAGGATATTTACAGTGGTTTGTGCACGATTTATGATACGGAGTTCCAAACGTTGGTTCTTTGCGACACAAATATGTTATTGAAACGTTGAGATTACGGCCAACCGTCAATCTTTAAACTTGAAACTTATTCAAACGCTATCGCCTCCTGCGATACGATTTCCAACTTATCACTTTTGTACGTCTAACAACGTCTGTTTTTCCGAACTCCCGAACCAACGCTTGCAAGCTCTTATTTATATTATAATTATTAGGATATAATTTTTGGGCGTTTGCATGACTTGCACTACGCCATTCCGTTTATAGAGTACTGTCATTACCTACATCCTACCGCAATGCCACATTGGGTAGAAAAAGTGTTCCTAAGTATTTTGAATTTACGTACAGGATTTCCACTGAAACCACAGTTTAGTAACTATATACGTATTTGTCTAGTAATATATGACTTAACATTTTACAGTTTATATCATACGGTATATTCACACTCTACATAACATAACATGACAATTTACAACACACTCCCCACCTTGATTAGTCCCACTAATCAAGCATATTCTGTGTCTTCCAGACAGAATCAAGAGCAGCAGCTCTTTTGGGTCTACCCGTATTTTCTACCTTCCTTCCTTTCAGTCCTTTTTCTCTCTCTTCTCGCTCATTCTCGCCTTCGTCGTGCTTCAACTCGGTAGGAAAGAGTTTTTGGACGGGGCGATTAAGGTGAACGACTTTACCGTTCCTAAATAACCGAACCTTAGCGCCTCTAACCACACCATCTTTCCCTACAAACAACTCTTCTATTACACCTGTTTTCCAATTTCCCCTTTTCACATTATCCTCATAAACAGTTACGACATCTCCCCTTTGCACTACCCTATTAGTATTGTCTTTGTCCTGCTTATGAAACTCTCTTAAATCAACCAAATACTCTTTACGCCACCTATTCCAGAAATGCATTTTTTTCTTACTCAAATACTGATACCGTTTTTACAGTAACCCGTCAGACTCCTCTTCACTAGACCCTTCGTCTGGCATGGACAACAATCTTCTTCCTGTCACCAAATGCGACGGAGTTAGTGGTTCACTACCCACCTCGTCGTACGTGTAAGTCAATGGCCTAGAATTTAATGTTGCCTCAACTTCTACCAATACTGTCAGTAGTTCGTCAAATGTCAACCTAGCATTTCCTAATACCTTCTTCAAGCACCTCTTCACTGACCTAACCATCCTTTCAAAAAATCCACCCCACCAGGGAGCTCTTTCTAGATTGAATTTCCACTCTATCCTATTGTTTCCCAAATACCCTTGCATTCTTTCATTTTTATAGAGGTTTTCTAAAGTCTTGACTGTTGCTTTGAACGTTTTTGCATTGTCTGACACCATTAATGATGGGGTCCCCCTTCTAGCTGCAAATCGTCTTAGGCATCTCACAAATTCATCCGCAGACAAATCTTTTACTAAGTCTAAATGTAAGGCCCTAGTTACACAACATGAAAATAATGCGATATAAACCTTATCTGTGCCCCCCGGTGCATTCTTCACATATAATGGTCCTGCAAAATCTACCCTGTTTTCGAAAATGGTTCTGATTGCTCTACTCTAAATGCTGGAAGGTTTGCTTCGCTAGGTCTATTGTATGATTTACCCTCTAATTTCTTGCACACGATACATTTGTTGAGAATCGATTTTACCCTTTGTCTTCCTTGGGAATCCAAAATCTAGACCTTATCTCAGCCAAAGTAGCCCTTACCCCACTATGATGTACCTTCCTGTGGCTGTGCTCAACTATTAATTCTGTCAATCGACCTTCCTTTGGTAGTAAAGTAGGAAATTTTGTTTCCTCTTCCAAATCTGACTCTGCTAGCCTACCCTGACATTTTAACAACCCATCCTTTTCTACTACGTTGAGCTGTACCTCTAACTGCTTAAACTTATCTTCCTTCTTTAACCTGTCCTGTGAAGCCTTTATCCAAAGTCTTTCTGCTTTCTGTCCTGACTCTTGACTCCCTAACTCCCTGAAAGTCAAATCCTCATGCCTGACAAACCGTGCAACCCATGCCGTTACACGAAATAACCTTTCCACCCTACTGTATCTATCTATACAGATAATCTGGTCTATACCAAATTTCTCACTAGCGTCTACTACTAACACAGCCACCTTTCTTTCTTCTTGAACACTCTCCTCGGTCTTACTCACTACAGACTGAGGCCATTCCTGCTCTAGACTGCTCAACCAATTTGGTCCATTCCACCAAATTGAATCCTCTTCTAACTTTGACGCAAACACCCCGCGACTACCTAAGTCTGCAGGATTTTCTACCCCTGGACAATGCCCCCAGCTTTCCTTACTCGTCAATGATAGTATCTCATTCACTCTATGTCTCACAAACTGCTTCCATTCACCTCTATTCTGAATCCAATACAAAGCAGTGATGCTATCTAACCAATATCTTGACTTCAATTTTCCTACCTGCCCTTCTAAAGCTTTCCCTACTGACTCTACCAATTTAGCTAACATAAGCGCAGACATAAGCTCTAAACGTGGAATCGTCAGTTTCTTAAGTGGTGCAACTCTAGTTTTCGCTGCCAATAATTTTACATGAACGGTAGAGCTTGTGCGACAAACAAAATACACTACTGCGCAATAAGCCTTCTCACTTGCGTCGCCAAATCCATGGAGTTCGCACGACTCGACCCTTTCGATTACCTTACTGTAAACGCATCTATTAATTTTAATTCTTTGAACCCTAACTAAATCCTCAATCCACTCTAAGTATATCTTTGCGTGCTTACCCTCTATTTTGTCATCCCAATCAACCTTATCAACACACAATTGTTGAAACAAAATCTTCATCAAAATAATAACGGCACTAATTAAACCCAACGGATCAAATATCTTTGCTAATGCGCTTAGCAGGCTTCTCTTTGTTAGTTTCGTCTTATCACC